AGCATCTCTGAAATTTTAGATCTTTTTCCTGCCTTGTCTAGGTTTAGGATCTCCTTTTTTTCTCTTTTAGAATATGGTCTGAGCTCCATTTTCCCCTAACACTTATTATTATTAGTCCTCTCATGCTCAGCTCTCTTGAGCTTACTGCTGGGCCATAGGCCGCTTACGTTTCCTGGGGGCCTGTACGAGGGTGCTTTTCTGAGATGGAAAGAAAATAAGTTCCGAAAGTTTTCTCTGGTTTGTTTTATTTCTCATCTTATTTAGTGAAAAGGGAGACAAATACATTATTGCATGTTTTTTTCTTGCTTCTTCTCTCCATTTAGAAAACCTGTCTCACAGTTTGACAGGTTACCTTTCTTACCCTTTTCAAGGTGATCTTGAAAATGTAGCTTGAAATTATTTATAATAGAAAAGGGTTTATGTTTTTGATATTTTATCATTGTCACATTTTAGAAATACTGCTAATAAACGTTTTTAATTAAAAATTATTTTTATTTTTATGAGTTGGATAGATATTCATAATTATTTGGAATGCAAGATCAAAGAATGATTTTTATATTTTTTACTTTGTATACCTTGGCATTTTCCCATTGTTTATAACTTTTTATAATTGAAAAGTTACTGAAGAAGGAAGTATGTGTTCATTGGAAAAACTGAATAAACTAATATGCAAAATGTAAAGTGGATATTTTAAAACATCAATTAGAAATTTTTATTTTGAATAGTTGTTATAACTAGAATTTTTTAAAAAGCCCTTCCTTCCTTCCTTCCTTCCTTCCTTCCTTCCTTCCTTCCTTCCTTCCTTCCTTCCTTCCTTCCGGAGAGCACGTGTGCATGTGTGCATGGGGAGAGGGGCAGAGAGGGGGAGAGAGAATCTCAAGCAGGCTCCACGCCTAGCATAGAGCCCACATAGGGCTCAATCTCCTAAGCCTGAGATCATGACCTGAGCCAAAATCGGGAGTTGGATGCTTAACCTATTGAGCCACCCAGGTGCCCCGTAACTAGAACATTCTTGAATGTTACTTATTTTACTTAATTGAATTTTTTGTCCTGCCAGAAACTTTTCATTTTTGCCCTCATTATCCATGTACTTTATGCATAACATAATTTAAAAGTTCTTAGGTCATTGAAGGTAATCTAGTTTCTTAGGGTCCTATTTTGGCCATCGTATTTAATTCTTGAGGGTCTTACACCAGTTTTTTTAATCACGTGGCATACTCTGTTGATTCTGCCTTCACGTTGCCTGTCATGTCGGTGTGCTCCTCTTTGCACAGCTACTGCCAGCACTTGTTGCCAGGTGCTTTGTTACTTGTCCCTGTGATGGCCGTGGCTTCCTATCTTCTGTGTTTTATGCAACCAGCAGTTTGGCTTCTTAGCTTCCTGTTTTGTGTCTTACCTATTCAACCATTTCTACATATTGCTGACTGATTGATTGAATGTTTTGTGGCCCATTGATCATTGTATTATTACCTTGCTCAGATATCTCTGCTGGTATTTAAAGCCTTCTTTCTGGCTTTTGGCTCCAGTCTAACTATCAGATCAACTCACTACTGTATTACTTTTCTTCTGAAGAGAAAAATTTACTGTTTCCAGATAATGCTTCAGAAGCTTTCCTCAACAGTGCTTTTATTTATATTGTTCTTAAATCCCACACAGTTCCTTTCTTGTTAAGTCTGTTAAGAACTTTACTTTTTTTTAAATAGCATTTACTGCATTCTGCCTTTTTTGTAGGTATTGCCAGACTTAAAAAAAAATTTTTTTTAAATGTTTTATTTATTTCTGAGAGAGAGAGAGAGACAGCGTGAACAGGGGAGGGTCAGAGAGAGAGAGAGAGGGAGACACAGAATCAGAAGCAGGCTCCAGGCTCTGGCTGTCAGCGCAGAGCCTGACGCGGGGCTCGAACCCAAGAACCATGAGATCATGACCTGAGCCAAAGTCGGACACTCAACCAACTGAGCCACCCAGGCGCCCCTGCCAGACTTTTAACTACTTTGATTCTATATTAAACTTCCAGGGTAATAACTTTATTTTATATGAGTATGTGTATCTGTCATAGTGCCTTCGACATTGTAAGGACCCAAGTATTAATTGAATTACAAAGCTTATTTAAATGTATAATCAAAATGTAATTAAACTCGAAGTTTTATTGACTTTAGAAAATAATCTTCAAATTACTCTGTTGAATAAAGCCTAAAAGGCACCTGTTTTCTTATCTTTTAGATTTTCACCTTTTAGTCTTAATCTCTGGTAAATGAGGAGTTTGATTTTTAATGCCCAGGGAATGTACTGTTTTGCTATCACTTTACTTGGGGTGGGAGGCTTCAAAAATAGACCACTTACCTAAAATTTGTCTTAGCATGGTGAGAAGTGCAGAAATCTGAATGGCATTTTTAAAAAAACATAATAGTAAATTCTTAAGTTTTCATAATAAGTTTGAACGTCTGTTGGGACTAATTCCTAGGATAATAACCTCCTGAAATTAGCAAGCAAAAGAGTTCCATATCTTACTGAGCTCATAGTCAGTTAGATTTTAAAAAATTAATAGCTCTTATTTCTATAGTCTTGGAGAACTAACCCAGTTAACTGTATATAAACTGATGCCAGTGTCTGTGATTTTTGGCATATTAGTTGAAAAATATAATTGTATGAAGGGTCCCATATTGAGTCTACTGTTACCTGTATTGATTTTGCATTAACAGTTTTCATTGTAACATGAAAAATTGGCACTAATGTGTTTTTTCATAAAATTTTAGAAATACAGTAAAAAAGTACACATTTTGATGAATCCCATCATGAGAAAAATAAAAATATTTCACCTTTTCATAGAACAAACACCTAATGAAAAAAATTGTCTAAGCTTTGCATTTCCTCATTTAAGCTGAGATCAGTAATTGTAAGCATATTTGTGACTTGTTTTCAAAAGCTGAACCTTTAACATAAATATCATTTTGGTGTATATACTACATACTATTTAATGTTAGAAAGCTTTTAGAAGTTGTTTGGTTAAGTATGAATTTTCTTTGTTGTAACCCAGTGGGTGTACTTTTGTATACCTGAAAGTTCATTACAGGAGGGCAAAAATGCTTGTTAATTGTCTGCTCCAGCTTCAAGTGTAGAAATAATAACAGTTTAGAAAGCAACATTATAATATTTGCCATTTATTATTTTGTTAGATTTCTTATTACAGAGAACAAGAGGGCATGAAAGCAGTTTAGGCAAATATGTTTAAAAATGTCTTTTAACCGAGTTCTTTGGCATGCTTATAGACTTGAAGATTAAAAATATTTAAAACACAAAGGGTTTCTCTTAATATGAAAACTCTAAAAATAGTCTAATTTTCATTGAGATTATAAAATCAAATACAGTTATAATTTAGGCTTGGAAGTTTAAGTATAAAATTAGTTTAAAAATTTTAATGGCTATATTAGACTATGTTAATGGCTATATTCTGTACCAAATATGTTTACTAAATGAAAAAAACTTTAATATCTTAACTGTGAAGTCTTAATTTCTCTACACGGTCCCCCAAAATGTCTTATTTTTTCATGCTACATTTTGTCAAATTGAAGCGTTTCTTTAATTTCATAAAAGTAGAAAACAAGGCAGAAGGATACTGTACCTTTGCCATGATTTGACATGTTAACATTATTACCAGAAATAAATCTATTCAATTTCCCATGTAACCTCATTGAATTCAAGCTGTTGCATGGTGCTTACTTCCCCAAGGGTTAAAGTATTCAGTAAACTTGATTGGGTCAATCTCAGTCTCGTTTAGTTACATAAAAGTTATATATTATTGAATTGTTTGACATAAAATGTTATTTATAAATGAAGTGCTACTTGATTTAATGGATACAGTGTTTAAAAATAGATTAAAATATTGTCCAGTTAATTACTTATAAGGTAGCAAGCACTATATTGGTCTATTTTGAACAATTTATTGCTATTTTCCTGATACAGTGATGGTTAGCACTCATTGACAGATTATTGTATTATAACACTTGGAAAATATTTGTTTGATATGAGGTTCCCAAGCCTGTTATCTCTAGTTAGGATTAGTAATTTTATATTTTCCATCATGAATTGAAGATGGCAGAATAAAGATTAAAGTTAAATTAAGTGGTGTAGAGTAAAAAAATTGACAAGGTTTATTGCCGCTTTAATGATTTTGAGGGTGGAAATAGAACTATTACATTTGGAAACCTTCGGAAACTACAATAATATAGGAACGCTGCGTAAATTGTATTACTCTAGAGTTGCCTTGTATCTAAAGTTAGAAATAGTTGGCTTTTTGAGTCTTCTCTACAATAATACAAAGTCTTTTCCTCCTTTGATTCAGATTTTAATAGTTCTGTTTGGTAGTATGTTGTATTAATCCAGACCATTTGGCTTAGAGTCCAGCAAAGTGAGGAAGGAAGAAAGAGCCTGGTGCTTTAGTTTTCTTCCTTCCCTTTATTGTTCTTTTATTTGTGTATTATGGGTATAATGCCCTTAATCTTAGAAAATCAATCTCTTTTTCATAATAAACTTGAATTTCAAAGTTTCCCTCTATCTTAGAGTGTATATACAGGGTTGTTTCTTGGTTGTCAAATTTTAAAATCCTGGTAAATCCTACAATTTCCTGCATTCAAAAAAAAGGATAAAGTTTCACATATGGTTCATTATTTTTGATTCATCAAATATTATACTAGGTGGACTATACCAGAAAACATAATATAGTGATATAGAAAATCCTGAATTATTTTGATTGTTTGGCGCCTGTAATTTTCGTTCTTACGTTAAAGTGCTATTCCAGTTCTCATTATATAAATATATCTGTAGTTTGTGGCTTAGAAACAAATATACTTTATAAAAAAAAAAAAAAAGAAAAGCCAAGATACCTGTGTCAGTTACATTTTAAAGTTATACACTGTTTTAAGGCTATGTATTTATTATTTAGAAAATAGTGACTTACATAAATATCTTCTGATGGACATAATATTGACAAAATATACACACGATATTACTTTAACAAACTGCCATGCAACAAATACATTGTAATGAAGAAATTGAATATATATGACCTAATCTAATCTTGACATTTACATTGGAAATTTACAACATAACCAATACTTAAAATGTTTTTTTCTTATATTTGGCAGTAATTTCATTTTTTTACAATTTAAATTTAAAACTTCTGAATGTGGGCTTAGTGAAACTTCGATGTTTCCCTAGTCTGTGACAACCTGAGGTACTAAACATTTTTCTCTTATTTCACTATCTTCAAAGGTAATTTTTTTGTTTCTCTTAGGATCTATCCAAGAATTGTGAATTACTGCATTGTTAGGCATAGGATCAGCTTCCACGATGGAAACGACTCGCTTTTTCATTTTACTTTTCAAGACCTTTTGAAATTTTTGTCTAGTGAATGCATATAATAAAGGGTGAAATATAGTTGTTCCATAAGCCATGACTAGAAAACATAACCTTAATTTTACTAAAAGGTCACTTGGGCCTAAACATAAAATGGTGGTATTTAAGACGGAGATTGGTGTCCAGCAGAGAAGAAATGTAGAAATAATCAATAAAGACATCCTGAAGACTCTTTTTTGTCTTTCTCGTCGTTCCCGGTGTCGTTTCACAGCTCGCCGGAGGGCAATTATTACAGAGACCGAAGTTCTTACGCCAAAGACTATATTTCTCCCACCACTGCTCTGTGACATGTCTGTAGTCTCGTGCTGCGTGGTTAGAGAAATTGTCTTTTTCTTTCTTGCTTTCTTCTTCTGCCCTGTAGAAAATCTTGTGCCTATTCGAATATTAAGAGCCTGAAGGATTTTGGTGTATGTGATTAACATCACTATGACTGTGGAAAAGAATATTGGGATCTGTACTAGCAGGTGATAATACATTCCCAGTTCAGTGTAGTATTCATTTGTACTGACACACAAAAGTGTCTTGTTTTCCCACGTATTTCCACTTTGAAGACTGAAAAAATTTACCTCAATAAACGGAATCAGGAAAGAGAAAAATGAAAAAATCCAAATGGATATCATCAGCATTGCAGCTCTGCCCATTGTCAGAATTCGGTTTGCAGGTTTTACAGAGATATCGTATCTGTCCAGAGTGATAGCAAACACGTTGATTGCTGTGGAGACACTGGCAAAAGATACACAGGCCTCATGGAAGCAGCAGATGAGAGCAGTGTTACTCTCCAGTGAAAGCAGAAGGATGACTATAGTTAGAGGAATACATCCCACACAGATTATTACATCAAGTACATGAAGATTCATTGTAATAATGTTACTGACAGAGTTGATTAAGTTGGATTTCATGCAGTAAAGTACCAATACGGTGAGGTTGCTGCCAAGTCCCAACACAATTTCTAACATAAGAAATCCGGTGAGAGACACTTGGAAGCTTACTGGGTAGGATAGTGGTTGGTACATACTGGTGTTGATGCCACCAGTGTCATCTCGCACTGTAATGTTAGATTCAGACTGCATGTTGATTTCCAGAACGGGAGAAAAACACATTCTTTTGGAGCAGTTGGTGTTTTCCCTAGAAAGTGAAATAGAATAAACTCTTTGATATTTGGCAATTTAAATGACGTATAAAACATGTGTTCCTTGCTAAAAAAATCTTTTTATTGTGTATTGGTTTAATTTTAAAGTTTCTAAACGGTAATGGCAAAGGTAGAGTTAGGAGACATCAAGATTGCATTGTTTGGATGTAATAGGAGGTTGGCTTCTCCCTTTGAAGATGACTGTGTGGGGAATTTGCCTATGTTGTTCAGAATTACTTAATATTCTAAAAAGATTGCCCTCCTTTGGGTTTTTCAAGCTTATTGAGATACAGTATATTTTTGTACAATAAAGCTACCCACTATGCAAAACTAATTTTAGCCCGGTGTTTTAAGATTTCATCTTAAAATGTTGTGAGTAGGTGGGTAATAAACGCTATTTTAATATGTTCTAGCATCATCAGTGTAGGTGTAATTATTCTCGTGAGGCTTCAAAGGCACAAGACAAGTGTTCATTTAAAATGATAAATGGCACAGAGCACTCGTTGTTTAAAACCGTTTTGTCCATGTTCTTGGTGGAGATTCATATTCATGAGTCAACAGTGTGCTTGGGGATATTTGGAGTTATTTCCCACAGAAGTAGGCAAATGATAATATTACATATTTCATAGTGAAAATTCTCACCGAACTTTGTAAGGGACAAACTTATGTTATAAAAATTGGACAAAAAAAGGACATTATTTTAAAATATAACACCACGAAACTTGGTAAAAGAGCCGTAAATCACTCCCTTGAATGATTTATTTTGTGACCACACCCTCTCGTATGTTGTGGAAGGAGAAAATTGAAATTTAATATCTTAATAAGAAATAACCATTTTTGGAGTGGCTTAAAAGAATATATCACTTGATTTTATTCGTTTAAACAGGATTTTTAAAGTAAAATATGAAATTTTAGGGAAAGAGGAGTATCTGAAGCCCATTTTCTGAGTAATCTTTTAAAGTTACACATCCCTGTGAAACCTTTTGTGTAAATCACCCAGTGTGCATAATTTTGAGGAAAATTAACAAAAACAAACTCTTTTACTAATTCATTTAAATCTGTATTTTAATGTGTAGAGGTTTAGAGTAATTTATAAAAATAATGTCTGAGTTTTCTGGGCTAATATGTCAGTAGTGAGTATATTCAGTTAAAATATAAAATCATACAACCAACTATATTTCACATTTCAAGTACAGCATTTTGACTACAAAATCATAACTGAACATAAATTATAAAAGCTATATAATGATATTCCAAATTCATGCTAACCTCTCACATGATGTAACCTTTGACAAGTTTTAGAATACAGTTTTATTTGTGCAAATTATTTTAGGGGTGCTATTTCAGAAACACGAATGATAACATTATCAATTACTTTTGAACTTGGTATAAAGTATTACTTAGAGGCATATACTCAAGTAAGTGAAAGTCTTAGCTAACACTGAAATCCTATAAAAATGGAGAATTTTAAGTGTGCCAAATTTTCAGAACTGACAGATTAAACATCTTTGTCACCTCAGTGACATTTAGAATTAAAGCAGAAATGCCAAGTTAGACGATAATTAGGTACAGTGCATCTCCTCCTGAGCGAGGTTGTTTTCTTTTGTAAATGTTAAACAGCATGGTGCATGCATCTTCTGACCTACCTGTTTGCTGTGACCTTACGGGCCCTTTGGCTCACTACGGCAGATTTTCACAAATTGATACATGATGTCATTGACAGATTTTGACTTGATTTTTGTTTACCTGACAACAGTGAAGTAGCTGTGTTTTATTTCATGTCTTGTAGAAATTCTTTCATTTTTCTCTCCAATACTTCAAACTGCATGAATTGTGAGATTTAGTTGGCTGATGGATTTGTAAAGACCAGTACAAACATTTGTGTTTGTTTTGCCTTAGAAAGTCACGACCAAGAGAAACTTCCTCAAATGGTAGGAATTATATTTCCCTTCGAGGGAATATATGATAGTGTCTCTTTATTTTCCAGAATATGTGAAAATAAAAAAGGAAACATACGGTTTCTAGCTTCTAAAATGTTTTTAGACATCCTTTTGGTACAAATGTAAATCTGTTTCTGTAGCAGTCCTCATTATTTTGAAATGATTTCTTGATCACATAACTTGCTTATATTCTAAATCCAGTCCATGTTCTTTTGATAAAAGCCATCTGCTATTTAATTTGATTTGTTTTCATTAGAAGAGGATTCATAGTCATAAAACTTAGAGGAAAAAAATCCGTTAATAGTAATATCAACTGCTACGAATATCTGAATATTTAGTGCAGAAAATACTTGACAAAGCTTCATTTAGCTGGCTGCTGATGTGTGGCATTCTCTTTTTGTCAGTCCGTGTCTCATTGTTTCTTCAGGAATCACCTCCACAATCCTGGTATGTTAAAGTATAAACTCCCCCTTTAAAAATGCTCACCATTTTGTTTTTAGGCTTTTGCAGTCAAATTGTTTTTATGTCTATTTTACAGAGCATCTTCTGAGGATGATTACTGTTGATGTGTTGTATCCCAGCAGTAATGTGGACCTGTCTTTTCCGGTTTTAACTCCTTAATGTCTTAAATTCATATGTTAGAAGAATATCCTGCAGTTTATGGTTCAGGCAGCTAGGGAGGTGCTTATCAGGTGCATTCTTCATATTGTCACTGGTAAATACTGAATTAGCTGCTGTGGGCCCTTGTGAAAAAGAAAAAGAAACTGGTTAAGAAACAGGGTTCCTGATAATTTCCAATTAACTCAAAGTTACTTCAGTTTTGTTTACTTTAGCACCGTACCCAGTATTTGTTATCCAAGTAAGGAAACTGTATTATTAGAGCCACAAGTTAGGCATAAATTCAAGGGTTTCTTTAAACAAAATGTTTTCTTTTCCTAACAGAGATTGCAAATATTACATTATTTAATAACAGAGGTAACATTATAAATACAGCCATGAAAGAAAAGCTGCATTTTTTAAACTAATTTCTGCTCTCATTTTAGAAGCTAACCTGTGTTTTCAGAGATTATGAGCAATTAGCATACACTGAACATACTGTCATTTTCTCATGTCTTTACAATAAATTTAACACTGTTTGCACCTGCAAAACATTGGAGCTTGTTTAATGATCAGCACCTGTTTTGAGTTTTAACTGATTAAAACAGATTCCATAAGATCGTATAAATTTCCACTGATGAATTGTTCATGTAGTTGAAATGTAAAAGATAATGCAAAATGTAACTGCAAATCAAAAAATTTCAATGAACATGCTCAGTAATAAACTTAACCTAAAGCTGAATGATAAATAATAGCTAAATAGTAAACCTGGTTCTTTTAAGAAATGGAAGCAGTGTTTGAGCACTTGACAAAACTGTACCGATGACAGTAAGAATATTTAGTAGGTCTGAAGTGACTTAAAAGCTGATGTCTTCATAGTGAATCAACAAAGAATATTTTTGGTATTTAACATTGCATCCTAAAAAAAAATGACATTTAAAATGTTATGTCCTAAAAGAGAAAGATCTAGAAAATACATGTTTAGCAATAAATAGAATTAAGCAAATAAACTCTTAAAATTTAGGTTAAGAATTTTCAAAGTAATTTTACCCCACTATGCCAGTTCAAAAGCAGCCGTATACTGTAATAAGGGAACACATCTTACCTCCGCTAAAGATTTGATAAATTCCTGATGTAGTTGAAGCGTTTCCAGTTTTGATTGATTCATTTTGTTCACTTGTTAGCAGAGGACTGGGGGAAGAGGGTCATAAACATCTCTTCAGAAAAGATCTTAATGAAAATATGTGTCTGTGCTGTGCCATTGTCTCAGCAGTCTTGCTAACGTGTGGAACGTGGAGAGCTGCCTGGAGGCTGCTGCAGTCTCTCACTCTTCCTACTGTGGAATCAATAAGCATCTGAAAAACGTAATGAAGTAATTGAACATACTGAAGGCTTCTTGTCTCCAGAGACAACATTTAGATTCAGTCTTTCTAAAAAGGAATGGCACTGCTTTTCAGAGGAAAGCCTGTTCGGGGCAGCTTTTGCAGGATGACAGCCTACCTTGTCGCCTCTCTCCACTGCAGAGAGATGCAGTGCATTCACTAATTTTGATTGGTCAGTTGTATTGGGCTTAAACTGTGCTTCATATGGATAGCAGGGATTTCTTCCCCCCCTGTTTTATATAAGGATGTTTTTTTTTAAAGGCTATATTTATAAGTGGTTGTATGCTGATCCTAAATAGACTATGAGTAAATTAGTCTTTTAAAAATGTGTATTCTATTCTGGTTTGTTGTTCACTTATGCCAAACATTAAAAAAATGCAGGGAGGTGGAGGGGGGCGAGAAAGAATTACATGGTAAAAAGTGTACATTCTGTTTGAAGCCTAAATGATTGCTCTCGAGAATATTTGAGTTGTATATATCTTTTTGGTTGAGATTCTTTGTTCTACAAATAGAGCCACTGCATCTTTACTGTGAACCACATTGAATTTCAACTAGTTTGTTTGTATTCAAGTCATCTTCTCTGTGTATTTCAAATTGTTGTGAACATCTCAAGGTGTTAAACATTGTTACGACTGCAGTATTCATTCAGGTATTCATTCACTCATTCATTCATTCAAAATATCGATGAGATTGATCCACGGTGGTTCTGCTTTAAGTTATTTTTAAAAAAAATTCTATTGATATTAGCATAGTCTCACTGTATAAAGATTTAGTCATGTGACGTTCTTTTTAGATTACTACTCAGGCTTTACCTTCGGTAACTCTTTTATTTAGTAGATACATACTAATCATTTGCTGTAATATTTTAGTTCAACTGGCTATTTCTGTTTTTAACGTTGGTGCTTTTAATGGATTTCTATGCCTTAAATATTATATGTAGCTATATGCTAATGTTACTGGGTAAACATATCAGTAAATAATGAAAAAGGAAGTTAGTTTATATGTGAAGCTAAATTCTTTTAAGATAGATATGTTGTCAGAAGAAAAACAATGATGTAAGTAATTAACTTAAAATACTACTTTAAAATTAAATTTCTTTTAACTTTGGTTACCTACCTATTCTCACTATTGAGAAAAATTGTGTGTGTGTGTGTGTGCGCGTTTTTTTTTTAGATTTGAGTATATAAAGTGACTGGATTCTATATCTGTTGACAAAATAGAAGACCTTGCAAATGACTGATTTATTAGAATATTGATCACTTATTTCCATTATTTTAGGAACATTAGTTATATTCATCTTTTAAAATGTATGCCAGATTTGTAATTTGTAACTAGAATTAATCCCTTATTATTTTAAAAAGCAATATACATTTTTGTAATCTTCTCATACTGTTTAAATTTCACAGAGGGTAGTTGAGTAGTATATGAGTTTTGAATTGCATTTGTGTAGAAGTTGAGATAATGTGGTGGAAAATTTTGTTGTGAATTCCTAAAATATTATGTTCAATTTGGGGAGACAAGGCTTTAGTAATGCTAAATATTAAAATGTGCTACTTACTTTTTATGCATTTTGAAAGTTGCACAAAAGGATGTCACTATAATGCCAAGAGTGGTCAAAGATAGCATGCAGATGTGCGCGCGCGCACACACACACAGGTACACACCCAATGTTACTTTAAGCTTCAAACTAATACCACAGCTTCAAACTAGAATCAGAGGAAAGATATTAGCATCAATTGAAACTTGTGGTGGAGAAAAGAAATAATTAACATAGTGAAATACACAGAGTGCTTTTCTGCCCAAGAGTTCATGTGTGCTTGTTTATTGTCACAATATCCCTATGGAGTAGAGGAAACCAAGGCACACAGAAGTTTAATGACTTGAAAAAGTCTAGGTAAGTTAGCAGCAGAGCCAATGTTAGAACTCTGCTACCTCCCCCCCTCACCCACCCAAATAGTTGGCCTTCTTTCTGTCTGGAAAATTCTGAAGACACTTGGGACTTAGATTGGATGCTATGGGTTTAGTCAGTGCTTATTAGTTCTGTGACTTTTGGCAATTTGGGCATTCTTTGGGACACAATATAGCTTTGATTCTTCCTGTTCAATTTTATATCTGTGTTTTGTGTAATTCTCTGTAATACAGTATTTCCAAGTTATACTCAAACTATTTTGAAAAAAGAATTCTGGTATCTTTGTAAGAAATAATGGCAGGAAGAAAGCTCAGATTTAGACATTGCTCTTTATTCCCTGTGCAAGTGACTTGTGAGTAAGGATACACGAGGTACCACAAATAGCGATCACTTTCATTGCACACAATGCGTAGTATAGTTTTTCTTTTAAAAACCACAAATTGGTGATTATAAGGTTCTCTGATTTGTTAGCAGGATAATCTTGACTTCCTTTGTTTTTAACAAAGATGAAAGTATCTAAACCATTGGATTCAGAATTAGGTTATATTATTTTTATGAAAAATTACTATCAAATTACATGTCAGAATTTACAGATTCTAATTTCCATAGTAACAGATTTTTACACTTGTGCATTTAATACATTTTGTATTTATATAGGATACTAATTTTGAAAAATTGGTGATTTAAAACCAGATTTTATGTTACAAAATACTTTTATAGATTATTAGCTAATTCATAACCTAGAAAAACAGTTTTACCTTGCGAATGATAACTATGCAATAGATGTGAATCTAACCGCCAGTGTCTCCATTAAATTTTTTCCCCAAATTCTGTTTTTGTTTTTTGTTATAAATATTTTGATTACATTGGAACTTTAATTCCTAAAATTTCTGATATGGGAGTCTTTGATTTTTAATTGTATACATTTGTTTCCTTAAGTTCGAATAACTGTGAATGTGAGAGTAGTTTGGTGTTCACATTTACACTGCACTGTTCATGTCTACTTACTGTTAACCTGGTTGTGTCTGGTTCTGATGCTACATTTTTGATGATTCTGAGTTTTTAAGTAAAAAAAAAAAAAAAACTCAATTGGTTGAAATATTGAAATTAACCACAACTGAAAAGTTCTTTGAAACTTGTTTGCAAAGTGTAGACACAAAAGCAGTTTCTGATGGCTGGAAGATCACATTTTAAATTGTATTGCTTTAAAGAGTGTTTTTTCAATGAATACTTAACAGAGCTCTCAGCTCACTCTGATACTAAAGCCCAATGAAGAAAGGATTATTTCGGTTTAAAGCCAATTCAGAAATTTCATTTGGCTTCTCAACTTTAAATTTCTTTCACAGCAAATGTTTTACCAGAAAAAGAGAAATGGACCATCTGCTGAAACCTCCATCAAGTGGGGAGTAGCCAAGGTAGTAGAGAGTCAACAACATTGGTGATTCATTATTGGTACAAGAAAAATTGAAAACTGATTATAATTAGATAAAGTACATGCTTCAGAATTGTATACTCTAACTGAAAAACTCCGTGAAATGTTCTTCTCCAACCTTCCCCACTTCACCTAAGTTGGACGTTTAAAATTATTTTTGTTTTTTACACTATGAATTTGTAAGTCACCTGCCGGCATCACATATATTATAAAAATAAATACATGATTTTTCCTTCCATTTTCTCATCCAAGCCTAGATTTTGGACCCTCTGACTATTACTACTACTTTAAAAAAATATTTTAATAGACTTAATTTTCTTATTTTTTGAGAGAGTGTGTGTGCACTCATGCACAAGAGGGGGAAGGGCACAGGGAGAGGGAGAGAGAGAAAATCCCAACTAGTTTCCACACTCGGTGCGGAGCATGATGCAGGGCTCGAACCCACAATGCTGGGATCATGACCTGAGCTGAAATGAAGAGTCGGATGCTCAACCAACTGAGCCACCCAGGTGTCCCCATGGCTTCTGTTTGATCTCTGTTTATTGTCCTAATGATGGCTTGTTGTTTTGGGGGCCTAGTCCAAGTTATTACCACCCTGCCCTCAGTTTTTTTGACTTTGTTTTCACTGCCGTACTACATTCTGCTATACATTCTTAAATATTAGGATAATTTTTGTTGGTGTTTTTCTCTCATATGTAAATCAAAGAATTATACAGTCATGTTTGTGGTTTTTTTCCTCATTGGCTTCTCTTCTTTTCTGTTGTTTCATTTTCTTCGTATAATTCTCCTTTTTAGTTTGTTGTACAGAATCACATTCATTTCTGTGTCCTGAAACCGTCAGGTGATGAACTGGATTATATAGTAACAAAGTTATGGCAATTCCCCTTGTCTGTGCTGTTAGATAGTCCTGTGATCTGGTGTGAGATGTGGAATGGTCATCTATGAATGGGTGGTCTATTCTTGATTTGGTTAGAAATATAATGGTTTTTTTGTTTTTGTTTTTTTTAATGTATAAAGCCAGAGAATGATAGAGTTCCACTACAGATTCAGTAGTTTCCCTGGTACTACTTGGGGTATCCGTTTGGGAAAATGAATGCATTTTCAGAATTTACTAATAATAGGTAAAGGCTGTGCTCACTGGTGACTTTGTGCTATTAAAATAAAGCAATATATCCTCAGTTACTCCTTGTAGTCCCCAGTCAGGAATACACAAAAATAAAGAGTTCTGCTGTGGTTTTGATTGGTACTACAGAGGATTTATGGATCTGGGGGAGAATCGACCTCTTAATAATGTTGAGTCTTCCAGTTTATGGATATTAGATCTTCTTTGATTTCTTTTATCAGTGTTTTATAGTATTTAGTTTATAGATCTTGCACATGTCTTGTTAGACTTGTCTCTAATTATTTTACTTCCTTAGTGCTATTGAAGTAGCACCTAATTTTTTGAAACAAAATTCCAATTTTTAATTTCTGCTATATAGAAATAGGATTTTTTTTGGATATTGACCTTGTATCCTGCAACTTTACTAAACTCATATTGGGGACTTTTTTTTAAAATGAAGTTGATGGTGTTTTCTGTACAGGCAATTAATATTATCTGCAAATAGAGGCAATTTATTTAATTTTGAACCATGTGTGATTTTTATTTCTCGCCTTATTTACTGCTTAGGACTTCTGGTATTAGATTTGATATCAGTGTGTTGGGAAAGGTACTCTGCCAAGGGCCTTGGCATTCCTGAAG